GACGCTACTGAAGGATAAATAGGTAAAATTAATTATTATTTTAATAAATCCTAGCAAGTGTAACAATAAAACTTTTGTCAAGACTAAATGTTGCTATAGAAACGAAAGATGATCTTTTTATCAGAGGCGTACAACCAATTTGGACATAGATTTTAATAATTTTTATCTCTAAAAGGAGAACACTTTTACCTGAACTTTTTTTTACTTTTAGCACTTATACTTCGAGACCAATTGCCGATTTTATTTTGTACGTACCTTTCAATAACACGCTGTATAAAAAAGTTTTAAAGTGCTTACATTTTTCACAAAAAGCATTTAACCTAGAAATCCGCTCTCTAGTTATGAGAGTTTGCTGCTTGCAAATTTCGTGCATGACAATGTGACTAGGTAAATTTCTTACCGTATTAAACTCAAATAAAATAATCATAAAATTTTACCAGTTATTGCCGAAAGTTATTTCGACAGGACTTCCCTCGCCCCCGAAGTGCAATGCCACAAATCCTGCTTCTTTGAAAAATTAAAAAAAATAGATTTTGCGAATTTATATTCAATAAAACAATTACAAGAGTATTCTATTTTATAAAATTTAGGATTATAAATATTTTTGAGATGTCATAACATTGATAGGGAATTTGGGCAAATTGTGATTAGCGTTTTACCATTTACACGATATTTCTAACATACATATAAAATACAATCGGTCCGGTAGTTTTGGAGATTATCTGCCTAATAAAAATTTGAAGAGACGACTCACAGACTGAACCAGGAGAGCTAATTTTTCATACTCTATGGGTCATGAAATGTCGAGAAAACATACAAGTAGCCAGCTGCCCCCCGATAGCTCGATTACAATACTTTCTTTCCTTACGCTGAAGAAGTAAAAATAAAATTCGCAAAATTAAATTTCATAATTTTTCGAATACTTTGTATTTTATAGAACGTTTATTCCCACAACACCGAAAACACAAAATATTTGTCGACGCGTTTCGCCAACCACGTTGACATTATCTAGACAAAGCTAAACTCTGTATTTGTTCGACTATATTTCTAGGGCGAAGGAAGTTGTGTTTAAGTAACCCTAGATCACATTTTTGTTCAACATTCAGTGATGTAACACACTTGACTTCGCTACAATATCCACATCACGTTTGTTCATTGGACGAAATGTTTGTCTGGGCGCAACAACGACGATCACTCCGCCGATAAGCACTGAAGTTACAGGTTATTCTTGTAAAGGTTCCGGGAGATACTTTTTTATGCATTCATCAATGAATCATACTTTAGTTTTGTTTATTATAACCAGTGCAATGATTAATGGATCGTACCAACGATAATGGAAAAATATGAATGCGTTGTAAAGCACATGGACTAACTACAGTGTTGTGGAGGTAGGATGTGTATATCTGCCATAACCACACACCACTAGGTGGACAAGGGTAGCGCCAGTCATCACTGGTCCGCTACCTGCATTGTATCTAGAGTTAGTCGGTTATTAATAAATAATAATTCCAAATATCGGACTTTGACTGTTACCCCGCCTGGTACTACAGACGACTCGACAGTGTAATAATAACAGCTTATCTATTCTATTATTGTATTCTCACATTGTGAAAATGGGTTGTGCTGTTTCCGATTTGAAGGAAAAAAAAAATTGGAAAGGGCGAGAATCGTACAGGTACTCATATAGCTGCCTCATTTTCCAGTATTACTAGGCGACGTATTAAGCGGTAAAAGCACAGGTGCTGAGCATAATAATTATGATAATAATAATAAACAAAAGCAGGGTGGATTCACAAAACACAAGTGTAGGAGTATAATATTTTATAAAATTTAAGTAAACAAAATTTTGCGGGGATGTCATGACGTTGTTGGTGGGGATGATTAGACAAATTTTGGTTAGCATTTTACCACCTACATGGTATTTCTAATATCAATACAAAATTTGACAAAAATCGGCCCAGTACTTTCGGAGATTATCTGTCTAATAAAAATCCGTGACGGCAAACAGACGGACAGACTGACAGACGGAAATGGGAGACCTATTTCTTCGTACTTTAGGGGTCATCCGAATCTCCGAAAGTACTGGGTCGATTGTTGTCGAATTTTGTATTTATATTAGGTAGATGGTAAAACGCTAACCAAAATTTGTGTACTCATCCCCACCACTAATGTGATGACGTCACTTCAAAATTGTACATAGTAATTAGGTTTTAAATTGTATCAAATAACATAGTCTTATACATGTAGTTTATGACCTCGAATTGAGTTTTTACCGGAAACGTCCAGATTTTTGGAAAAAAAATCAAAATTAGGAAACAACATTTTGACATTTAATTTGAAATCTACAAAACCGAATGCTTTGAAATCTTGCAGATGGTTTACAGTTATGATAAGCATAATAAAATTTTAATCACAATATATTTAGTTATCCCCTCCAAAAAATTTGATGACGTCACTCCAAAATTTTGCTAAATAAATCCTATCTAAAATGTAAAAATATGATGAGTCTCTTCTTGTAATTTATCATTCCATTCACATTTTTTGGATTTGCATATACAGGGTGACTCAAAAAATTTAATGAATGCGCAAATTTATTTTATTGATTTAATCAAGAACTACAAAACCGAATGCTTTGAAATCTAATGCGAAAAAAAACATAATAGGCATGCAGTCGTCACGTTTCCGACAGCGAGGGAAGTACTGTCTAAACTCTTTATACCATTTTTTTTTTGTTTTTATTCCCATATTACAGTGTCCAAATTGTGTTTGAGTATATCTAATAATTATCTCCAGCATTAAAATTAATATTTCAAAAGAATAGGGGAAATGATTATTCTGTGCTGAAGGTCTGTTGTCGGCAACCTGTCATAAATTATTATTCTTCGATATCGGCTTACGATATCTTTATGACCATGTCCGATAATCGTCTATCCCGGTGCAACAGGTATATACATTTTAGGAAGAATTGCTGGTTCCGTTTAAGGCAAAATAGGTATACTTGTCCAAAAGGTATAAGGTTATATGACCATCATAAAAGTAGTTGACCGCTAATAAATACCCCCTTTGTGTGGTTCGCACTAAGCTTACCGGTTGGCAATAAATCGTCTTCTAAACATTTCTTGCTCACATTTAACAGGGCCGGCTTTCAAAGCGAGTGGTTATTTCGGAACCCTTAGCGGCTGCAGGTAGTAAAGAAATAGTGGAGTGGTGGATTTTCATATTTAGTGAAAGCCGACCCTGAACGAAACCATAACAGCCGGTCGAGGTGCAGTGGACACGTTATTTACGACCCTAAAACCTTTTCTATTGTAAACAACTTAACTTCGACACAATGGGATGATTTTATGATGGCCATATAACCTTACAGCTTTTGGTCCACTATACGTTGTTGGTTTGTGTCTGGCTTATGCTTATCTACGTTCACAGTGGACAGAGTGAACTCTGTAAGAGTTGTTAAACTGCGCAAATGCAGAACGGAATAACTCCCGGCTGAACATAGAAACGGCTAACCTCAAACTGAGTCAATCAAAATATCTAACCTACAATTTCGTACGATATTCGAACTTGACAACTAGCAGTACAGAACAGACTCGCAGTGTGAAACTGCCATCCCGATTTTCTATTAGATAGATAATCCCCGAAAGTACTGGGCCCATTGTTGTCAAATTTTGCATTTACATTAGGATATCATGTAGATGGTAAAACGCTAACCAATAATGTGACAACGTCACTTCAAAATTGTATATAGTAAATGGGTTTTAAATTGTATAAAACAACATAGGCCTACACATGCAATTTAAGACGCCGTGTTGAGTTTTTACCCGAAATTTAATTTTGAATCTGCAAAAGCGAATGCTTTGAAATCTTGCAGATGTTTTAAAGTTATGATAAGCATAATAAATTTTTAATCAAAATATTTTTGCTTATCACCTCCAAAAAAATAATGACGTGAAATTTTGCCGAATAAATCCTATCTAAAATGTCCAAAATATGATGAGTCTATGCTTGTTATTTATCATTCCATTCATATTTTTTGCATTTTGCCTATACAGGGTAACTCAAAAAAATTAATGACTTATTATTAGTCAATTTATACAGCCTGATGTCGAAAGATTATTGTCCTGAGTAAACTTCACGTTCCTAAGTAGTAGCAATGTCTAGAAAAAATTATTTGAAGTTAAATATAAATTGTTCTACACGCCGCTGGTAGTGTTTCTTAACCTACTTTTTTCAATCACTGGCACAGAACGACTCGGAATAAGAACCAAACAAGTGACTAATAAAAAGCAATGTGCAAAAAAAACGAAAAGGGTCAGTCACGTATCAGTTGTTCTGTAGCACGCGGGCGGGTTTATGGTGAATTTTTCCAATGCCCTAAAATTTTGCAAACAGTTCAAGGTTATCGTAAGCATGTAGCAAGTAGCCCCTCCAAAAAAAAACTGATGACGTCATCCCAAATTTTTTCCGAATAAATCTTATCCAAAATATGCAAAATTTCAAAATATTATTTGCCTATATTTATGGTTTATCAATGCATTCACATTAAATAGAATTACTTACACAAGATCACTAAAAAGTGATCGAAGGCTATTTCGACAGAACTTCTCTCGCCCTATCTCGCTATAATTCAACCAATTCTGCTCTTTAAAAAAAAATGTAAAATTTGATTTTACGATTCTCGTTTTGTGACAACCTCTGTAAAGTAAAAATCAGCGGCATAAATAACACCCCCGCAGCCCCTGCGTTGTACGGACAATGTAAAATGTGTTTATTTAAAGTACATAATTCAGTTAGAAACCAAGATAGGAAAGAAGCCGCAGTTCCGAGCGCCAGGAAAGTACTGGCTAAACTCTTTAGACCAATTTTTTTACGACTACTTTTCCAAAGACTAAAATCTTCCCATCAAAAGCTTGCAAGTGTGCATTGGAAGTTTTGTGAACAACATTTTAAAACTAACCTGCTTTAATTTTAAATAATTTTAATGTATGTTTTCTTTTCAGCTTTATCAGTACGCTTCCTTACGAAGCGATACATTGGAGAATACGATCACCAATCAGGTAAATATATATATGTATATAGGTATATTAGCAGTTATTTTTACAAAAATCGTTTGGACCGACAATCAGTTTTTATTATACTTTAATTTAATGAAAAACATGCACCTACCTAATCAAATTTTTTCAGTATTGATGATGATTGACGATTAGTTGTAAATTGAAATCTTGAATATGAAAACTTCTTCTGTACAAACAGGTGTGTACTAAACATGCGGCAAAAATTCAGGAGTGCTTGGACAAACAGAAACGTTGAGAGGAATGTTAGATTGAGTTAGGTTTACCTGTATGTAAAATGTACAAAATATGTCCGCTATGTCGTTTCCTTCTATTTTTACTTCCCGAGCGTAAGCAAAGGAAGTATTGTAATCGAGTCCGTCGGCCGACTCTCTACTTTTACGTTTTCTCGATCTTTCATGACCCCTAGAAGACGAAGAAATAGGTCTCCCATTTCCGTCTGTCTGTCCGTCTGTCCGTCTGTCCGTCCGTCTGTCCATCTGTCCGTCTGCCGTCCCGGATTTTTATTAGACAGATAATCTCCGAAAGTACTCGACCGATTGTTGTGAAATTTTGTACTTATATTAAGAATATCATGTAGATGGTAAAACGCTAACCAAAATTTGTCTAATCATCCCCACCACTAATGCGATGACGTCACTTCAAAATTGTACATAGTAAATGGGTTTTCAATTGTATAAAATAACATAGTCCTACACATGTAGTTTACAACTCTGAATCGACTTTTCACCCGAAACGTCCAGATTTTTGGAAAAAAAATCAAAATTATAAAACAACATTTTGAAATTTAATTTTTAATCTGCTAACCAGAATGTTTTGAAATGTTGCAGATGTTTTAAGGCTATAAAGAGCATCATAAATCTTTAGTCAAAAAATATTTGCTTATCCCCTCCAAAAACTTGATGACGTCAGCTCAAAAGTTTGTGGAATAAATCATATCTAAAATGTACAAAATATGATGAGTCTGTACTTGTGATCTATCACTCCATTCATATTTTTTGGATTTGCATATACAGGGTGACTCAAAAAAATTAATGAATGCGTAAATTTATTTTACTGATTTACTCAGAAACTACAAAACCGAATGCTCTGAAATCTTGCAGATGTTTTAAGGTCATAAAGAGCATAATAAATGTTTAGTCAAAATATATTTGCTTATCCCCTCCAAAAACTTGATGAGGTCAGCTCGAAAGTTTGCTGAATAAATCATATCTAAAATGTACAAAATATGATGAGTCTGTACTTGTGATCTATCACTCCATTCATATTTTTTGGATTTGCTTATACAGGGTGATTCAAAAAAATAAATGAAAGCGTAAATTTATTTTACTGATTTACTCAGGAACTACAAAACCGAATGCTTCGAAATCTTGAAGATATTTTAAAATTATCATAAGCATGGTAAATTTTTGATCAAAATGTATTTGGTCGTCCCCCCTAAAAAATTTATGACGTCACCACAAAATTTTGCTGAATAAATCCTATCTAAAATGTACAAAATATGGTGAGTCTCTTCTTGTGATTTATCATTCCATTCAAATTTTTTCGATTTGCATATACAGGGTGACTCAAAAAAATTAATGAATGCGTAAATTTATTTTATTGATTTAATCAGGAACTACAAAACCGAATGCTTCGAAATTTTGCAGATGTTTTAAGGTTATAAAGAGCATAATAAATTTTTAGTCAAAATATATTTGGTTATCTTCTACAAAAAACTGATGACGTCAGCTCAAAAGTTTGCCGAATAAATCGTATCTAAAATGTACAAAATATGATGAGTCTGTACTTGTGATTTATCATTCCATTCATATTTTTGGATTTGCATATGCAGGGTGACTCAAAAAAATTAATGAAGGCGTGAATTTATTTTATCGATTTAATCAGGAATTACAAAACCGAATGCTTTGAAATCTTGGGAATATTTTAAAGTTATTATAAGCATGGTAAACTTTTGTTCAAAATGTATTTGTTCATCCCTCCTAAAAAAATTGATGACGTCACCCTTAAATTTTGCTGAATAAATCCTATCTAAAATGCAAAAAATATGATGAGTTTGTACTTGTGATTTATCATTCCATTCATATTTTTTAGATTTTCTTAAGAGGTGGTTCAAAAAAATTAATGAAGTCAATTTATTTTATTGATTAAATTAAAGGCAACACTTATTATTAGTATTACACCCCAACCAACCCAATTTGGTAGACACAAAATTTGTTAAAGGAAAAACTCGGTTGAAACATAAGGGTAGCACGCTTATTTACATCGACTTTAACATTACAGACCTGCATTTGTTTTATGCGCTCACTTGGTTTCGCGAATGTGGAATAGACATGTTTATAATCAACCAATTGTGAATTTCACCATCAAGAATTAAAATAAAACCCAATGTTTTATATAATAAGCGGAAGTCGAAGCAATAAAACCGATGGTCGTTTTGTTTACAGTTTCTCTGTTTGACTCTCACGTATGCTGTTACGCTTGTCATCTTAAATTAAGAATGTTTATACATAAACGATTTTCAGTTGCCCCTCATATTACTAGACAGCGGATTTCTGTCGGGCTACGTCACGATTATAGGGGGGGACGTGCTGGATCGCCGGGTGATAGATAATCACCGAATTTAATCGGTACTAATTCCATAAATATAATTAACGATTTATTAATCAAACGGCTAAGTAAATGAGAACGGGAATTAACAGCAGAGTGCAACGAAACAGCGTTATTCTAACCTCAAATAAACGAAGTGCAGTCCGCAACCGCAATGAATTCGCATCCCGTAAGAGCCGTACCGAGTTTGGCCTTGCCTAGCCCGACAGAAATCCGCTCTCTAGATATTACACACCGGCGCCGTATACGTGAGTAAATTGTTTCGTTATTTTATTGATTATAAGAAATCAATATTCAAAACGACCCAATTCATTTTCCCGAAAATTTGGGAATACAATAATTTTATTCTTAGTATTACACTACATCTATCCCAACTGATATACGTGTCCTTGCAAAAATGTTGATGACGTCATCACAATTTTTTTTTAAATTCCCACTACAAAAATGTAATGAGAAAAAAAAACACAATAGGCATGCAGTCGTCAAGTTTCCAACAGCGAGGCAAGTACTGTCTAAACTCTTTAGACCAATTTTTTCATGTCCTGGCACTCTGGCACCCATTACGGAGAAACGCTATTTTCCCTAGTTAGTTCTTTGAGAGATGGTTTAAAGTCTAAGACAGTTTTAGACGCACAGTAGGGTGCCTCTAAAACTCTTAATGCGGCATAGCTCTCTTATATTATACTAGCCTCGCGCTATCTTTGTTTAACACATAGGTTAGGTTCCTCTCTGTCGAATTCCGACCACAGGCAGTTTGCCGTACTTTCTAAAAGTAATAGTAGATCTAGTGACTTTAGTTGGGTTCGGTAAATATTTCAATTTCCCGCCTGAATACAGCCAGGTGACGTCAGCAAACCTGCGTATGTCCATACCATATTTACTTGTATCATGTGGGTGCCGCTGATTCTCTAAGTTCATAATACTTTAACAGAGAGGTTGATGTGCTGCAGTGCCATCTAGTGGCAAGTTACAGCAAAATCGATAACGCGAAAATATTCTCCATGGTCAAATACCAACGTATATCAATTTTCATGAGGATCGGTTGATTGGTATAGAAGTTGATGTGTTGTAGCGCCATCTAGTGGCGAGTTACAGCAAAATGGATAGGGCGAAAATATTCTCCATAGTCAAATGCCAACGTGTACCAATTTTTATGAGAATCGGTTGAACGGTGTAGAAGTTAATGTGCTGTAGCGCCATCTAGTGGCTAGTTACAGCAAAGCGGATACCACAAAAACCTTCTCCATGAAAAACCACTTACATGTGCCAAATTTCATGGTGATCGGTCAAACGATTTCGGAGTCTATCGATCACAGATATATATACCAACATCCATTTTTATATATATAGATAAATCTTATCGCTTTTGAGGGATTATTATTGAAGTCACTCTTATGCGCAAAGGTTTATAGCAGAAATTTTTGTTTGTATGGTGGGAGTGTTACCTATATCCCTACCCTACTCCCTTGCTTCGAATTTGACTCGTCTGTATATCAAATGATGCATGTTTTGGTAACTGGGTTAGAAATGATTCGAACTTTTGGTGGCGTATTATCGCCGCTTCAAAGTCGACTGGAAGTTAAACTGAACCGGTGTCAGATCCGATAGTATGACAATCGATTCTGTTCGAATTTCGTACAGGGTCTTCACGTGACCTGCCATATTTCCTGGTTTTATCAGTATTTTGTGTGTAAGCAAGTAAGTCTTTGCATTGTCTGGAATTTGGTTTCCGAGGTTTTTTCTAGAGTTTTTTCCACCATACCATTGATGCATATGTAGCAATAGGTCTAACAATCGTCAGCTATGACCAATAGATCATCTTTGTCTTACTAAAAAGTTGGCGGTATGTCCACAACGCCGCTATTGCTTTTGTAAGAACCTTTTTACGTGAGCATTCCAAGTTAGTCATTTATCCGTGATTTCTCCTAGATAATTAACTTCCTTAGAAAACGTTGGGCATTTTTGCCCAAGTCATCCGCACAAGTCACGACGTAGAAGCCGTCTTCACTAAGCTTAACTATCAAGTTGGCAACAAAAAGTGACAGCAGAGGGGACAAAACTCCGCCTTGCAGACATCTTCTTACTGCAGACACTGTTGCCGACTCATCCCCAAAGCCAACTTTTATGGTTCGGCCGCTTAACATGGATTTTATCCACTTACTTGTTGAGGTTGGAACTTAGATCATATAATAAACAGATACCAACACGCCGTGTTCTTTCCCTAGGAGAGCCTGTGACGACATCCTTCTGTCACACATCTCTCTTGTGCATAGAGGGATTACAATGAAGCTATCTTTGCCTGATCACTATTTGAATTTTGCGCGTCTAACTTTTAGGAAGTATGTCTGAACTAACTTCGTAGGAAAGATGTTGACAGCTTGATTTTATAAATAATAATTTACAGTAGATAACGAAAGGAATAGTAAATTATTGGGCAGCCATTGTGATCCATTATGATTACATCACTTAAAATAGGGTCTTTGTTAAAAATTCTAAAATTGTTTTTCTTACAAGAACTCGAAAGACAGGTTAGAAGAAACATCTGTCAAAAGCGATTTGTTGCGCTGGTGCGGTACAAGGATGGAAGTGAAATAGACATATACAGATGAAATGCATATAACAAAGATGAAGATGTGGTGATCACACAAGGATAGCAGTATAGTACTCCTCTTGACGTAGAAAACGACAACAGAGAGCTTCATGTCTAGTCACAGCTTTCAGTTTGAGTATTGGTATCTATTTATTATATGATCTAAGGGTTGGAATGCCTCTACGTTCAGTACCTCTTTCGATAGATGCATGGGAGGTGTTGTCAAATGCGCCCTCTATGTCAATGAATATTTCCAGATCCACTTCTTGCGCGACATACGTCTTTTCAATGTTTTTGACCAAACAACGTAAAACGTTAAGTGTGGAGTTGCCTGATTGGTAGGCAAACGGCTTTCTAGATAGAAGAGTCTTCTTGAGATTTCCTCTAGGAAATGAGTTGATTAAAACATAATTGTCCTTAAAGTTCGTGTATTAAAAATGCGATCCGTTCGTTTTAAAAGCTTATTACGAACTAACTTTTAAGATCACAAATACACATATATAAAATATAAAATTCAAACTGAAGTACTCAGCGTTTCTCGGGCGGCTTATATTTATCGCCCTTTATAAACAGTAAAATAAACAGAGAATGTGTGGGATATGGTTGTAAAAATTTTTGTCTTAATTAACTATATCGAATTACAAAATCTCCTCTATCAACAGTTTTCTCCACGGCTTTTAAGAGAAAGGAGGTAAGACTAATAGGGCCGGAAGTCTTCTTCCCGTTTTAGAGATAAACGCCACTCGTACATACGTCCCTCCAGCTCTTCGGGATGTAACCGAGATAGTAACTAGCCTTAAAAATTGTTTTCAGGCTGGGTAGTAATTCATCGACCTCTGTCAATGTTGAAAAAATGGGATCTGTGCCTGACGATTCGAATACTTTGAAGCTTTTAACCACCCATTTGATTGATTCTTTTAGCCGTAAAAAATGTTACCTGCTAGGCTTTTGCACTCTTTAGTAAAGCGAGATTCAAAGTCTACGGACATTATTCCAGCCTGAGTACGAGCGTCTTCGTAGGATTTTGATCTACAGGAGTGGGTTTCCAACAGAACCCTTAAACTTTCTTCTAGATCCGTGGTGTAATTACCGTTCCAAGAGTACCTTCTGCAGCCGCACTGCTTGGGATAGTTCCTCTAATCCCTCACAGAACATGCTCGAAGAGAGTCTCTTAGATTTTCTCAATTCTTTGTTGCAATTACCGACAGCTTTTTTGAAGTCATCCCATGTACCTAATCTTTTAGTTCTGTTAAACAGCTTCTTTGCCTCTGAATTGAGATGATCGAGTTCTTTGTTCCACCAAGATATCACCTTTTGTCTCAAAGGACATTTTTTTTCATACGAAGAAATTATTAATATACGTAAGTAATATGAGGCACTATCAAGTTCCACTGGAGTTTCGATGTTGTAGCAGAGACCATTGGTTTCAGATTTTGTGAGCTCTTTGTCGAGACAATAATCTGTTTTTCTGGGTATTCTGCACTTTTCGCAGCTCCGAGTGGGCACTTTTATGTCGGCTTCCTTCACTACTCGCCAATTTTCAATCAAGTATGTTATAAACGGACACGATAGCGTTATGAACAGTACGCGGAAATCTATCTCATCGCTGCAACCCCCAGTTGAAGTAAGGTGTGTTTTACGGCGAGTAGCGGGGACGCTTTGAACTGGTCCACAAGGTCGTAGCCAGTGCGTCGCTAGGAGTGTTTACAGCTTGTTAAAAAACTACTTCTATATTACTATATTACTTCAAATAATAATACTCGATGCCGTTTTTAATTTTTCAAACACAGGACCACAGATTTGTGATCTTGAAATGTTACATTATGTTGATATAGTCCAAAAGAAAAATATATTTGTAATCAAACTATCGCCGCGACAGCACTGGATCTAGCGTATGAAACACAATTCCGCGCGTTGGTTATGAAGTTTATGATAGCGTTTATGAAGCTGGGTTTTTTCGTTTATTTACAATGTCTATGATATTACAAATCAAATATTTAAGGAGGGACTCACCTCGTTTGTTATTGTCCGTGCTGCCTCACATAAGATGTTGTGCGGTGGCGCAACATCTTAGAATTAGTTCTTTTGCACCAGCTAATGAGGCTTTTGACTTCGTCTGGAAGTCGATTGTCTTGTGACTCGCCAGGAAAGTAGCAAAGGCAATTATAATTTGCCTTTTACCTCCATCCTTGGGCACCTCTGCAGCCACTGCAACCAAATCACTGCTAATGAACAGGTTTCGGCATCCCGTAAGAGATGCTCATGGCAGTCCGATTGCTAACGCTGTTGCAACCCGGGCCACGTTTTCTGCTACAACATCGGCAATTCCTATTCCTAATTCCTTCCCATTCGAACATAAACAAATTTATTTTAGTTATTCTTTAGACTTAAGTAAAGCTTTTGATTGCGTTTCACATGAGATATTAATAAGGAAGTTACTATTTTATAATTTTCATCTAGATAGTACTAAGTTGATATTGTCTACTTGAGCAACTTAACACAGTACGTTAAAATTATTGACAAATTATCTGATTATATTAAAATTGTCCACGGGGTATCTCAAGGTTCTATTTTGAGGCCTGTTTTATTTTTAATATATATTAATGATTTACCTGAATATCTAACAGATGTACATAATTTCGGAGCCTTCCACGGTCGGAATCAATACATGATCGTTTTCCGGGTTGGAACCGTGTAAATTGAGCTTTTGGGCTCAACGTTTCGCACACTTTCGTAAGTGACATCTTCAGGAGCAGGGTTAAGAATAAGGCAAAAAAGAGCACGGCAACTCAGTATATCAACCATACCAGAGGCGAAACTCTTCAATTAACACGGTTCCAACCCGGAAAACGATCAGATATTGATTCCGACTGTGGAAGCCTCCGAAATTATTTATAAAAAAATTTGTTGGGGGATTTCTCCACCGGATGCTGTTGGATATGATTTACTATAATATATAAATAGTTCATGTATCATATCCACCTATATAAATGCCTAATTCCCGTAATGTAGCCCTAAAGCTATGCATGTCCACTTGAGAGGGAGCTTGCGAGAAATAATTCCATAATCAGCCCGTAAAGCCATAGTCGGGCCTGCCCTCAACTGGGTAAGCGTGTTCTTTTTACCTTGTTTCTCTCTTTCCGAGTTTGTGGGCGACTCTCACAATACGAACGCATTTCGAAGTGCGACAGTGATCTTCGATAAGTTTGTTTTAAGTGTATTTTTTTCGTAATAGTTAACTGAATTCATTGCAGTAACAGACCTTTGAAATTTGACATGACAACTTAAGATTAAGAATCGTATAAAATGAAAATCAGAACTCTGGTGAGAGTTCCGCTCCAATGGACAGGTACCCTAAAGGCGTTTTGGTTACTGTCTGACCGTTAGTGGTGAGCGTAGTTTTGTTTGTCCTGTTTACGGTTATTGATTCTTTTATTGTTTTCTTTTCCTTCTTATCAATTGTCTGTTTTTCTTGTATGTAAAAAGGGACGTACGAAATGTCAAAACGCATTCATCGACGCTTTCGACTACAGATCAAACAAGTACGAGTGCATGCGCAGCACAAAGAGGTCCGATATATTGCTTTGCCGTTCTGTTTTCGGACTTGAGGGCAGTTAGCAATATAGTAGTATGTATTAGATATATAGACAAAACTAAAAAATAAGGCTACAATACGGTGTTTTACACTGTGTGACAGTGAAAAGATATTGACATCCACCATTTTCTAGCCGCGACTATATTTGCCATCTACATTTTTTATGATAGACAGAACTAATGGAATGTATGCTGTGACGGACAAGTTGTGCTGTAAAATAAATTTGTGGCAGAATACTTACTTAAAAACCGTGTTAAATTTTTGCATAAGAAAGTCTGTCTCATTTTTGTTCTGAAGTTTTTCATTTGATGTTAATGACAGTTTAATATAACATTTCACCTCGCGAGAAAAATAACAACGTGATCCATTTTTGTGCTCATATCATATTTTATATAAAATTTCGCTCACCATCAGTTATGTCTGTCTGCAAAAACGGAATTTGTGTCTTAAAATTTTATTGCAAAGTACTCATTTTAATAATCTTTCTTGGTTTCAGAAGGCAGATATAAGCATGAAGTTCTGATAGACAATGAACCCATTTTGTATGAAATACTAGATACGTGTCCTAAGGTATGTATTAATATTTAATTGTAGAGAGCTTCCATTAGGTTTTTTTTTATTCAAGAAATAAATGTTAATATATTAACAGATTTTATACCTTGATACAGGGTTCTTATAAATTATTCTAAGGGCGTAGTTGGCCATGGATTTCAAAAATCCCGCTTCGCTGAAATCACAGGTAGCTGAAATTATGCCTTATTATGACAGTGCTCACTTGTCATTAATATAATTTGTAACTTATCATTTAAAGTCACCTTTTTTATTGTTTTAACGTTTTTCACGTGTGATTTACAGGAATTTTCATTGACCCAAGCTCAAAACAACAAAACACTTGTTTTCAAAACTCTTGGTGCTTGCGTACTTTTATTTTTGTGTTAGGAAGGGAAGACCATGAAAATGGTTTATTCTATTGAACAAGACACTTTCACTTGGCGAAATACCGTGATTTAATAATTCAAGAAACATCGTTAGAGACTTATCACATTAGAGATGTAATCAACAGACTTGTTTGAACTGGCAGTGTCAACAAAGGGAAATCTCTGAAAGACTTTCAGTAAGTACCTGAGGAAGTTGTTGATAATTTGAGACGACTTGAGCAGAATCCACAAACATCTTTGACAAGATTTCCTCAACCGTCAAGAGTTTCTGTCTCAACATGCAATTGAACAACGGGCATTGACCAAAATAATTGCAAAACATTTTTGAAATTAAAAAGAGAGTGAACATGTGCCTTGAACAAAATGGCTAACATTTTGATCATTTACCGATGACCTCAAAAATCCATTAGTATCCGCCTTTTTGATCACAAAAATTCATCTCGATTATGTCAAAAATGCCCCTACTGTGCGCCATTTTGCTGATGACGTCAAAAAAAAATCATCTGATGACGTCAAAACTCCCCCACTGTTCGCCATCTTGATTGTATAAAAAATCCTCCACTGTCCGCCATCTTGATGAGGTAAAAATCCCATCCACAAGCCCCCATCTTGATGACCTCACAAAAACCCCCAGAGCGATGAATCATTCACACCCCCTGCTTACTACTATCTTGTCTTTACTTGGGTTGCAAAAACTTGGTTTCAGATGTTCATCCCCAAATCGAAGTTCTAGAGCGACACTTAGGGTACTATATTTGTTTCTGTTCCTTCAGACAGAGTTTTAAGTATCTCTAGCGCTGCGCCTCGCAAACCTATCACCAAGGCTGCAGCTTTTTGCTCTTCTTCCCAGAGATTTGCCGTAGCTGCTACTCGGAACTGCGTCTTGTATGATCAGCATTGATGACCAAGGCATCTTATCATCATAGGTTGAATTATTCTGTGGGGCGACAACACATTACATGAGTTAGTTGTTGCATTTTTCATTAATTTTTCGAGTTTCTTCATTTACTTCTCCATTCTAACTTCTATGGTTTTCATTCGATCTTTCATGGATTCCACTGATTTTTGTAACTCACTCTTCATCTTATGCTCCATTGAAATCATATTTCGTCCGAAAATATTTTCCATATTTTCCAAATTTGTTTTTACGTTCTTCACTTCTTATTTAATTTCTTCTACATATTTCGTTCTTGTTTGCTACTACTTCCTTTTCAAAATTTTCAGTTAGGTTGGTGATTATGTCATCTTTTTGTTTGTCTATTTTTTCGTTGATTTCTTCTATTTTTGCGTTCATTTTCTTATCTCTTGCGTATATTCTTTCGCGTACTTCTTCTATTGTTGCATTCATTTGCTCATATCTTACTGGCATCCATTTTTTCGTATATTTTTTTCATTCATGCATCCATTGTTTCGTCCATTTTTTGATGTTTGCGCCTATCTTTTCCATACTTGCATCCATTTTTTTGTCTATTTCGTTATTTCTTGTGTCCATCTTTCTCCATTCTACTGCCCATTTCCTTGTTCATTTCCTTATTTGTTGCGTCAATTTGTGCGAACATAATCATACTTAATCTGTTTTACTGGCTCCTCCATTACTGCGAATTAAGCTCTAGTCTCAACCAGCATAAACCTTTAGAATTCTTTCCAATCTACCCGTAAATCGTCAAACCCAGTTATTACAGGAAGAACCTGTGAAATTTTGGAAATTTATTCAAAGTAAGAAATGTACCACAAGAATTCCTGGTACAATGAAATATAATGAGCCCGTCCTAGATAATCCAGATCTTATTGTGAATGCATTTGCTGATTACTTCAGCTCTGTATATCTTGATTCGCAATTACATGCTGAGGCCGGCAATCCTGAATATAGTGCTGGTAGCGATGTTTCTATTTCTTATATTTCGGAGAAAGATGTTTACTCAACGTTAAAAAACTCCAAACATGTTTGTGTTTGTCCAGCCTTTAGTGTATTTGTGTAATTTAATTATAATAACAGGTATTTTTCCAGTACTCTCGAAAACAGCAACAATGTATCCATTATTTAAAAAAGGGGACAAAGCAGACGTAACCAACTATAGGCCAATCTCTCTAATAAGTAATTTTGCGAAAGCATTTGAAAGCGTTTTGTACAAATATATTTATATGGATGTAAAAATGTATATTACTTAGTCCCTCGCAACATGGGTTCATGAAGAAACGTTCGACTATTACAAATCTCGTGTGTTTTACTCAATTTACTTGTGAAGCAATTGATAGTAAACAACAGGTTGATACTGTACCTATATCTTGATTTTTGGAAAGCATTTGATCAAATTGATCACTATATTCTACTACAGAAACTACATTACTTCGGTTTTTCTGATTCTTTGATAAAACTTTTTCAATCATACTTGGTAGGTAGAGTGCAATATGTACAATATCGTTGTTACAAGTCGAAAAATATAGCTCCTCGATCTGGAGTCCCTCAGGGGTCAAACTTGGAACCACTATTATTCCTCTTGTTTGTTAATGATATCACGAAAATTATCTCATCTAATTGCTTGTTATTTGCTAATGATTTAAAAATTTACAGGATTATAAATTCTCCTAGTGATTCCATTGCTTTCCAAAATAATCTCAATAATGTCTGTCAGTGGTATCTGCAAAATCGCTTATTTTTAAATATCATCAAATGTTTAATTGTAACGTATACCCGTAAATTATCCCCTATGTATTATCAATATAGTATTAACAATGTAAAACTACAGCGAAAGAGCTCTATATTAGATTTAGGTGTATTATTTGACTCTGCTTTCACATTCACTTCGCATATGGAAAATATGACATGTAAGGCCTATAAAATTTTGGAATTCATCTTTAGAAATAGCAAAGAATTTAAGGATATGCGAACTTTGAAAATATATATATTTTTTTGGACTTGTCAGGTCTAGGTTGGAGTACGGTTCAATTATTTGGCACTCGGTGTATCAAGTCCATGTTAATTAACAATATAGAGTCTGTAACCGACTGTCTGTTCAAAGAGTGTTTTTAAAATTCCTAGCATTTCGGGAAGACAGAATATATTCGGTAAGAGGTTACCCATAATCACAGTTATTAAACAGATTTAACATCATCTCCCTTAATACGAGAAGACTGATTTCAGGTCTGCGATTCCTTTTAAATTTAATTATTTATGAAGTTGATTGCATGTGGTTGCTCAAGAAACTAAACTTTTTAACACCGAGGTACAATGCTCGTCAACCTGATATGTTCTATTGTCCCTCCTGCAAAACTAATCTATCACAAAGCTCACCAATTGTTGTAATGTGTAGGGTGATCAAAAAATATCACAGAACTGTGATATAACTGACAAGTTTCCTAAAGTTTCTGCATGCATTATAGCGGAATATGAAGTTTGAAAGTGAATGTTTCTGCAAAAAGTATGAAGTCAACCAGCTGTAAATATATAACTTTCTGATTAATTGAAAATTTACAAATCGTGTTCTTGCATTACTAACACTGGTTGTGAGCTTTTTGTTTTTGTTTATCTGATGAAATTTAATCTCTATTCACCTTTCCCTGCTAAGTTCAGTTTTTATGGGGGCATATGAAACCATTAATTTGTGCAAGCCCTAAGTATTAATACCAGAGAAGAATTGTTAACACGAATGACTGAAGCAGCGGAAACAATTCGTTCAAGTTTAACAAAATAAAATTTATTATTTCCAAATATGTACCTACTAAGTTTTTATTGCAATGGCATTAGAAATATGTAAAAATAGCATGGTCACGCCATTTGTCTTAGGAATTTAGACAAAAATGGGGTTTAAGAGTTGCACTTTATTAATTTTGAAGTTCATTTTCTCGACAACTTCTGAATTACCTACACATTTAGCACATTTCAGTTTTTCATGAACGCCCGGCGAAATTGAAGACTATTAAAACCAAAAGTTTTCTACAGCCTCTATCTTTTGTGTTCTAAAAAAGAAGATGACTAATTAGTCAACAACCAGGTTTAACGCTAACTTTACCTAAAGTGACCGAAGCATTTACGGCGGGAATTTCAAAAAACGTCATGCTATTAAACACTTCTTAAGGCTCTACCACACCTCAAGAAAATTTCTATTTTAAAAGATATGCAACTTGTAAAACACCCATGCTACCTCGTTATGACAGCTGCCACTCATCTCTAAGGGTTAATCGTTTACTTCGTTTACAATAAGTAACTAGTTTTATTACTGCTATTTTCAGCGGGGGAAGTGTATCCCAACTTGCAGGTAGAGCAGAGTAAGGAACTAAAATATTTATCTACTATGAAAGAAAACAAACAATATTTCTTAGCTTACGTTCGAGAAGTAAAAACGCAAAAACACGTCTACTGGTATATAAAAATTGCCATTTTGTAATATTAGTTTCAAAAGTTTTGAGCGATATTTGACAGGTGTATGACGTCATCAATAATATTTTAAATGGCACCTCCTACCTTTTTTTAGCATAAAGTCCCTTGAAAGAGAATTTTTGATATGCAGTTTAACCTAATTTACTATCATAAGAAAAGAAAAAAGCCAAATGTGTGTTTTAAAATAAATTAATAAAATCATTGTCAGAGACTGTTGAGATCTTTACTCGCAATACACACAACAAAAAAATGCT